AGGGATATCCCGGAGAAAAACAGTCCCAAACATATGAAATAAGGAATCAATGAATCAAGCATGCCCTTCCAATTAAGGACTATCTTATATATCTCGCGCACAAATCCAACTGGTGCAGTTCCTATGGGTATGAAAAGCCAACAAAGTTCTTCGTGGTCACATATAGTAATAAAGAAGAGAAAGATTCAAAGGGGAAGGAAGATGGGGAAAAAAAATATTGAAAAGGTCTCATCGGCCGTCAGCAGGGATCCGTCTGCCTGAGGAGAATCGCCTAGCCAAGTCTCAACGCCAAAATCCTTCTATCGCAAATCGCAACCATGACGAAATTGGTCCCTAGCTATGGGGAATGGATGAATCGGGACCAAGCACCAAAACAAAGGAGCAGGGCCAAGGCGGAAGATGGATTCAAGAATGTCAAGCCCTGCAAATTGCAGAGAAAGGACTCATGTCCTCCAGTCGGTCTCTTGGTAAGTGGTCTCACCCGGGTTGATCCCAAGCATATGTCCCTGGCTATTCATGTCATAGATGCCCGCGCCACCCGCATAGCCTCCGCTGATGCCAGACACTGTACTCAGTCCCGACTCGTCATCTTCGAACCCAAATTCGCCGCCGGAGCTTGCATCGAAACTACTGCGACCCCCAATGTCGCTGGGATCATCCGCTGTGGCAGGGATCTGATCCCATTGTAACGTCTGCAAGGCTGGGTATTGGGCCAGCAGAGCGGCGGGAAGAACGAAAGCCCCGGTGGGTTGACCGTCCATGCCTGGAACCATCAACGGAGGAGGCATCGGCTGAAGATGCTGCTGCTGCTGATCCATAGCCGAGCGCTCTCGGTCTTGAGATTCCTCATCCAACAGGGGCTTAATGCAAATTCGACCAGCCTCCGATCGAAAATGACGACCGAGAGCATCGGCACGTGCGAAGCGACGGCCGCAGCCCCATTGACCACCCCGAGACAGCTCGCCCCGACAGACAAACTTCTTTTCCCCGGAATGGAGACCTTCATGTCGTTTACGATCATGCTGTCGCGCAAAGGCCTTCCCACATACTGTGCAGACAAATGGTCTCTCATCCGTGTGGGTTCGCAGGTGGGACCGAAGGTTGTACGCTCTGGTGAAGCGTTTGGGACATAGATGACATTGAAATGTTGCGGGGTGTTTCTGGACTCGCTTCGAGTCATTGAGATTCGCACCGGGACGCTGAGGATCAGCGAGTCCTAGAATGTAATTCCGACTATCAATGGATGACGTCGATAAGCGACGAGACCGCGACGGTGACGGCTCTCGAGAACTGGGGTTGCTTTGAGGTTGGCGCCCAACCGGATCGAAGGGTGACAGCGACCGCGGTGATGACACATTGAACGGCTCCAGGCTGGCCGAGGTCGAAGAGGAGCGTGCGCGCGAGGCTGGGTGGGCATAGGGATCTGATTTACTGCGCATACGAGATCCTAACAGCAAGTCACGTTAGCAATAAGCAAAATGGGCCGGGCGGAAACGCTTACGGATGGCGACTGGTGGGCTCAAAGAGTCCAAATCTGCAGCTGGCTTCGACTGAGGCGGATTTGAATTCTGGGACGGGGGTGCGAATTCAACATTGATGGAAGGAGGCGCCATTTGGGACGCCTGCCCCATGTCTCCAGGGCTAGTGCTCCCCTGGGCTGACAGACTCTCCGTGTATATGTCAGTCGGGGGAGTCGGGTACTGCGAATTCAGAGCGGGCGCAGATATGTATGGAACGTTAGGAATCATGTCCGTTCCCTGCTGTGGCATCAACTGCGGTGAAATATAGGGGCTGTGTGCCGGACTCAATGCTGGTTGCGAATGCGCTTGCTGATGCTCCGAGAGTGTGAAGGATTCTATCCCCAACGCGTTCTCGTACAGACCGGGGTCGTTTTGCGGCGCAAGGAGGGGAGAAGGGTTGTTATCGAAACTATCGAAAGATTCATGCTGCGACATATATGGCGAGGGGGCGGCGGAAGAAACCTCTGACACCTCCGAAGGAGCCCGGCGATGGCCCTGGAATGCGGAGTTACCCATAACTGCCTGCCAGTCGTGATGCGAGTTGCCGGACATGTAGGCTGCGGTAGCGGGGTCCAAGGAAGTATGCCGGGAATGCTGCGGGGTATAGTAGGTCCCAGGGGTGGAAGTCGGAGGTGACATCGGGCCGGGGGAAGAGTGCTGGTGATAGTCTTGCGGCGAGACCGGAGACAACTGCGGTGACGCCGAGCGATGGGTAGAGGGGATCTGGCTGATCAGGTCGGCAGGATTGACTCCGTGGTTGGCGGGTTGAGACTGCCCGTGAGGATCAAGCATCAGCGGTGAATCGTATTCGGGGGCGGCCGTGCTGTTGGGGCTGGGGTTTTGATAGAGGGCAAAGTCAAAGTCGGCTGGGTTGGAATTCAGTAAGGTTGAGAAGTTCTCCTCTGAGGGCAGCTGTTGCTGCTGTTGCTGGTGCATGGAAAATCCCGTCGACTGATCTAGTTGATGCACCAAGTTGGGATTGAAGGACTGAGGCAACTGCAGGGGTTGAGAATAGTTCTGCGAGGCCGGAGCCAGCGTTTGCGCGGAGAGATAGGCGGCGGGGTTGTAGCCGTAAGAATCAGGTTGCGAGACGTTGGTGAAGGCAGGGAATTGAGTGGTCGTCGCGACCGAAACATCCAAGGTCAAGCCCGATGAGGGGTCATTATAAGGCTGTGGATTGTGAGCTGGACTAGGACTGCGATTGTGTCCATTGGCCGAAGACTGCCCCGAATCGCGAAGCGTCTCTTGAGAAGCCATAATATGACGACGGGGGGGGATCCCAAAAATAGATCCCACGCGATGTAGGCTGTGGTGAGGAAGAAGAAAATAGATCAAATCCGACTGGATGTCATCAGCAGGGGGAAAGGAGCGAAAGATACAACTGGAAGGTTAAGAAGAGGCCCGGGGAGGTGAGAGGAGAAGAAAGCGTGTAGGGAGTAGTTACAATAGAGGAGGGAAGCAGACGAGTCAGATGCGGCGGCGGGCGGAGGAGGGGAAGGTGGAAGATGGGGCAGGAAGGGCGGGCGACAGACAAGAGAAGCTGAGAGAGAGATTCAATCCACGGCCAGGCACAGCAAGTAAAGTCAAGGGGGTGCGATTCGAGCTGTCATTGGCGTGAAGTACTCAAGGCACCGTGGATCAGAGGGGGAGATGAAATGGCCGCAGCGATAATAATAATAAGGGAGGAGGGGGAGCACGAAAGAGGAGGGAGACAGAGAAGATTCAGCCTCGTGGCGCAAGCATCAGCAAGCATCAGCGGTCGGTCGGTCAATCGGTCGGTCGGTCAATCGGTCGGTCGGTCGGGAGAGTTTCACATTCTCGGGCAGCAGGGGACGTGCAAGATACAATCCAATCCTGTGGTTGCTGTGGAACAGCAGCAATCTGTAAAGGTATTGTGTTTATAGAAGAACCAGGAGATGCAGCCCAGAGCAAGAATAGGAGGAGAACAAGAGGAAGAAGGATTCGAATAATAGGAGGGGGGAGAAGTAGAAAGGAAGCAGTGCGCGCGTGTGTACAGAGTACAGTCAGTACAGTCAGTACAGTACAAACAGCCTGGCTGCCTGACTGGGCGACAGGCACGTGCTAAAAAATATAAGTACAGTATAGTACTGTACAATACACAATCATACTCCTTTACCTCCTTTACCCAACTACGTGACGCCGCCGGCAAGGCAGATTTCCAAGAGCAGTACTCTGCAGCAGCAGTAATTACCCTAAATGAACCAAGTTATTTCTTCCAGATCCTATTATAAGTTACCTCGCGATACGACTAGCCAAGAAAAAGACCTTATTATATTATCCTGTCAAATCGATGTGATCATGAATTACAAGTACTGTACATACTGTACATACTTGGACTATCCCCATGGGCGAGCCGCTGACTTATCGAAAGAAGGTAACGCTGCAACCGCCATGCCCAGAGTTTGGGGGCCTGAATCCAGCTACATAGCACAACAGACAAACAGAATATTTCAGCATCGTCTTCAACGTCAAATCCGATTCTTCGTGATGGAGCTGCAGCTAGTTGAGTGGCTGACTTCCCCTCGAGCGAGGCAATCCCCATACAACAACACAGCAGCCTACCTCACGGTACGCAGTATCATTCTTCTCGGGTTCTCAGGCATCAAAAGAGAACGATTCTCCATCTAGCCTACTCCGTACCTTAACTCTAGAGAAATCAGAAAGGAACTGCCCCCCCCAAATTAAATCAGGGCCCTTCGTATTCCTCCTAATTGTGCGACAAAAAAACAAAAAAAGTCCCCACCCAATCAGTGATAATCTTGTCTCGTTCTCCCAGCCCATCACTTACCAGAGACGGACGGTTCAAGCAACTCCGCCTCCTTCCAGGTCTACAGCGAGTTAGCTATGCGTGAATAGCTCAGTAGTCCGGCGTCGCGCCAGGAACCACCAACCAGTCTTACATGCTCACTGTTTCCCCAGCAGGAGAACCTGGTTGGTCAATTATCTAAGCCTTTCCAGAGGAGCTTCAAGCTCCTGGCCTTAAGAAGATAGGGTTCGCATTTGGATTTAGACAAAGGCCCTCCCTCTCTTTCTGAAGGTTTGATGCTGCCCGCGCGGAACCAGAACCCGGAAATTGCCGCACGTCAAGTGGGCGGTCGACAAGCGTTTGGATCACGTTTGCACAGCCCCCCCTTTCTCCACGCGAACGGAGACAGAGTGAGTGAGTGAGTGAGTGTGAGTGTGTGTGTGATAAAATAAAGAACTCATGGTAGATCAAAAAGCAAATCATCAAGGTGCAGTTCTCTTTACTCAAGGACAGAAGTTCAACTCCTTGGCAAATCTTCTATACCAACCTCAAGATGACCCTGGCCTGGTTTTACCCCGGCCCTAATTTACCAGGCGGTGAGTAGTAGCAAATGGTCTGTCATTGTCGCTTGGAGACTTGGAGTAAACTAACTACCTTCTAGTTACTATGTAGTTAGCTTAGCTGACGGAGCACTCATCCCCCCCTCCCCTCCCCACAATTTCCAGACGCATCAACATCCTGAATCATACTAGTATCCTACAAAAGTCAAAAATCTTATCTTTCGCCCCTTTTCAGAGCTCTCCGAGAGTCTCGATGCTCTCGTACACTTCGTCCGTGGTGTAATCCACCATCAGGTTATCAGCGCAGCTCGAACCCAACCCAGCATTGCCGATCCAGGCTGGCTCCCAATAGTACACTCCCAGACCATCAGTAGTGGCCTCCACCACGGCTGCCAACTTCTCGAGGAACTCCTGCTGGCCCGCGACCGAGAAGGGGATCGAGCTCAGATCCGAGGGGAATGCGTACGCCGGGTTCGGGCACGAGACCGGCCAGTTCGTCTCCACAACCACCACCGGCTTGTCGTAGGTCGACTGCAGGTTCGCCAGACTAGTCTTCAGGGATGCCAAAGTTGCCGACGCGCTGTAGAACGGGTAGTAGGAAACACCAAAGTAGTCGAAGTCCGTGGACAGCAGCTCGCCCGTGGCCAGAACGGTCTCGTAAAAGTAGTTCTGCTGATCCCAGCTCCAGCCGTCGTCCAAATGGATCATGATCTTGGGCGTGGTCGCCAGGTTGGAATCCTTCACTCCCCAAGCACCCGAGTGCAGCAGTGCGCCGATGTTCGAATAGCTGCTCGTTTCGCCCAGAGGCCAGAGGAGACCGGCACGAATCTCATTGCCGATCGAGATGATCTCGATATCAATATCGTTCTCCGCAAAAGTGTTGCATACTTCTAGCGTGTAGTTGTACAGCTGCCATTTCAAAGTACCGAGGTCGGTCGTGGACCAGCCGGAAGGTGTCGTCTATTGCCCCAAACACGGTCAGCCTAGCCATCACCTCGACTATATGGTTGCTACGATGCAACCGACTCACCTGGTCGCTAGGATCCGCCCATGTGTCACTCAGGTGCAGGTCCAGGTAAAGGCTCATGCCAGCCGCCTTGACCCGCTTGGCCAGCTCCAAATTGTAGTCCAGATCGTAGCTGCCGTCGCTGGGGTTCACCCACACACGCTGACGAATGGAATTGATGCCAGCATCGGCGAGAATTGTCTCTAAGGCTTGGGTTTGGCCATTGAGATTCTTATAGCTATAGCCCTCATCTTCAAGCAGCAAGAGAGAAGAGATGTCTGCGCCGCGATAGGTGAGCGCGGCGTGGGTAAGAAGGGGCAGCGCAGCCAGCAGCAGAGAAGCGAACATGACGATTGAGCTGAGAGGGGGTTTTAGTCAGGCAGTGTACTTTCAGACAAGAACATGAGGAAGAAGGGCCCCCATGCGCCTTTTTATGGGCGTCGAAAGGAGTGGAATGGATGAAAAGATGGCAGCAGTCATGCGTGCCCTGCCCATTGCCGACAGTTAGCCTGTGGACGGAGCATAAACCGTGAAGAACCAGGTCTGCACACCTTAGCGTGCCCCAAGCTCGTTAGATTTCTCCACGATTTAATTTATCCTAACCGAAGCATGACGCTGGGGTACAGTAGCCAGCGCTGCCAGACTCAAAAGAGATTCGAGGAAAGTCGGAGCGGCAGAGTCATTGGTGGAGGAATAGAATTGAGTGGCCGGTGGGGAATGGCCGGTGGCACGCCGGTGGCCTCATTTCTGGCTTTGGTAATAGCAGAACAGTTAATTGAAGACGTAAGAGAAAGAAAAGGAACCCATCCTCGCTTAAGAAGGAGGGTTGCGTGACAGCGACTGGCAGCTGTCAGCTGCCAATTGAGAGAAATAAGAGGCATGAGCGGCCGAGCAATGGAGTAGTTCAGCAATTCGGCCTCGGCCTGGACTACTTCCTTCGTCCAAGGCACGGCAGAATAACCGATCTACCGCTCTTGGCTCGTTTCAGCCTCCGTTTCACTTGCGTCACGACACGCCAGGGGCAGGGAGTGTCTATAAATGGGGTTGGATTTCAACCGATGTGTATGTATGTGTGTGTGTGTGTGTGTGTGTGTGTGTGTGTGAGAGAGAGAGAGAGAAAGAGAGAAAGAGAGAAAGAGAGAAAGAGCAAGTGAGAGAGTTTGGGGGGAGAGGAAGAAAAAGAAAGAGAGGACTCTCGCGCAACATGGTATATTAGGTAGATCGACTCCCACCTGGTCATCAACATCATCATGTAAATCTGTCATCTCAACACATCGCGTCTTGCGCGTCATAAGTCACTTGAAAATCCAACTCGGAGGTACAAGGACAGAAAATCATGATAGAAAGAAAATATCAAAAAAAAAAAAAAAAAACAATCAGGTGCAATGTTTATATCCTGATCCCACGTCCCAGATATCAAGCATTAGATACAGGAATTCCCAGACCCCAGACCCAATGCAGCACGCAAACCGGAGATATACCTATAGAGGCAAATGAAACCGAGACGAGCGGAGCAATCCCTCCGCATGTCGCCTAGCACGAAGCTGAATATGAAACCCAGACCAAGTATGATCATGCCACCCATGCAAATATATGTACAAGCAATGTAATCGTAAGCCAACAGACACGCAGTCCCAGAAGAGGAGCTTCCCGTGAGCCACGGAAGTGATGCAATATGCCTGGGAAAGGCAAAGAAAAGAAAGAAGAAAACAGAACTTAATTGATATACATGCAAGAATATGTAAGCCCCTGTCGACTAGAAGCGGCGAGATGTTCGGTGAAGGAAGGAGCCCCCCGAGACTCATTATCGATGTATGAAACGACGACATCAAAAGTAGTAAACAGACAGGGAACGAGATGTCCGTGCCAGGTACCTGGGAAAGGCGCCATCGAGAAACGCACCGTGGACTAGGACTTTGGGAGTCCCGACCGAATGATAGGCTTCTGGGGGGTGGTCCTCTTCTTGCCGATCACGAGGCCTTCGTCTTCTGAGTCCCCTTCAGACTCTTCCTCATCATCGCAATAATACCGAGATTCATCATCCTCGGTCGAGCGTGAGAGGCTGAGAGGCGGGGCTTTCACAGTGTCGTCGGTACGGAGAATTGAGGGTACTTTAGCTGTAGAATCACAATCCCTGTCTCGGGTACCGCCCTCCCCCGAGATAGAAGATGCCCCTGACACCACGGACGGGATGCTCGCATGAGAGGTTCGCTGAGACATTCCGCTAGTATATTCGTCCACCGAGGACGAAGAGATAGTAGCAGCCGAGGGCGGTGAGGTTGTTAAGCAGGACTCGCCGGAGATGAAGTGTTCAACAGAGGGACCGGTAGCCTGCGCGTAAACATCATACGGTGGAATGAGCGTATCGTGGTCTGGTCCATGGGAGCCACGGGTCGGCACATGGTCCATGTCGAATGTCGACTCCATCCCGCTCCGTCTCTTCCGTAGCAAGGCTTCTCGAGTGAGATGGAAGGGTTCGGCGTGTTTACCTGGAAGCTGATGGGAGCGATTGCGACGGTGACCTGGGAATGAGGACAGTGCATGCTCATGAGGGATCGAAAGTAGATCCTCGTTAGAACGCAGGGCAGGATGTTGCATGTGGCCAAGCGCAGAAGTAACACTAATAGCCAAACTGGGCTCCGAGTGGCGGTCACTTTCCAAAGATGCCGTCTCGCCGGAAACGGACCGATCAGATCGCCAATCCTGAGGCTGAAGTCCACGTGCTAGCCGACGGCTTGCGCCGCCAAAAAGTCCACTTAAGTTCGTAGTACCCGAATGTTCTACGCAGACAGGCGTGCCCGTCCGTTGTGGTACTGGTGAATTCCTGGAGTCGTGTGGCTTCACAGTCTTTGCAGACTCGGCTGTGGACAAGGTCGAGGTCGCGCGCTCCGGGGGGTCGGGGCGCGCAATCCGTTCATGTGAGGGGTTGGATCCGGATTGAATGAAGTAAGAGGTCTGCTCGTCCCGGCCAATGGGACTTGCGGTGACACTCCGTGAAAGGGGGTGTTCGCCATCTCGAAGATGGCGGATTGAACGCGAGAAATCTTCATCGCCCCTAAGGCTGTGGCGGCGCCCCTCCCAGAGAGACTTGGCAGAGCCGGAGTCAGCGGAGTTGTTGCTGGGAGTGCGCTTGCGACTATCCTTCTCTTTCGATCGTCCAGTCAGGAAATTCGACCATTTCGCGACATTGGATCGTACCCTCTGGAAAAGAGGTACTTTGCTGACAGCCGTGGTGACTTCCTCGTTAGACACTTCGATTTTCTTGCCCTTGCTCTGATATCCGGGGTCGGTCTCTTCGACCCAAGCTCGGGGGTTGGGAAGGCCGTAGAGAATCCAAGGATGGTGCTTGATCTCCTTCACCGTGATCCGCTTGACTGGGTCCTTGGTCAACAGCCGCTTCAGGAGATCATAGAGCTCATCGTCAATGTCTTCGTACACCAATTCATCCTCCATTCGCTTGCTGTAGTCGTCGAAGCGCGGCCACTGGCTGGCGGCATCAGGATTATCCTCGACTGGCTTCAAGCGCTTTCGGGGTATAAACACCTCTTTCTTCACAATAGTCTGAAACATACTATACTCGTCATCTGAGACAAATGGTAGACGTCCGAAGATCATGCCGTAGAGGGTGACGCCAAGGGACCAGACATCAATAGCACCAGTAATTCGGGGAGCGCTACCGAGACTGTCTACAAAATCCTCACCTGTGTAGCACAATTCCGGTGCATAAAAGGCGGGTGTCCCCACGGTTTTGGACAACTCTCTTGCATCGTCTAATTCAGTCGCGTCTGTCTCCTCGATATGTTCCTCATCCTCGTCTCTGATGGGCCGGCCAAGGTAAGATACCCCGAAGTCGGAGATTTTGACTCGGTAATTGCTGGTGACCAGCAGATTGGCTGGCTTGATATCGCGGTGGATGATACCTTGGAAGTGCAAGTATTCCAACCCCAACAGCGAGTCTCGAAAAGCGTTACGCGCCTCCGCAAACGTTAGACAGGGTACATAAGACATATCATCATCATCACTGAGCCACTCGGGCTCGGAGGGAGCGTAGCCAAAGCTGCTAGATGCCGTGCTGAATCTTCTATCGAAAGAGTAATCCGCATAGGCACCATACATGCTGCCTTCGACTGCAGCCAATGCTGCTTCGGGACCCGATGCATAAGAATGGCACGGAGAAGACTGGGTTTCATCATGGTACATCAGGGATCGACTCGGAACGCGAGCCATGCCAGGCTCTTCGTCTTGCTCCTCGTCGGACTCCGCGCCATGCTCTAGACTCCAAGCTGGGATAGGAGCCTCCTGTGCAAATGCGGCCTGCGCTTCGAGTCGTTCGCGTGCCTTTTCGCGTTGACGACGGAGATGTCGGGCGGTTTTCACATATTGCTGGCTTTCCTCCATGAACGAAGGGGTCTCGGGAATGCCAGCCTTTTCCCGCTCTAATCGGCGCTTATCAACATGCACGATTTCCCGCAGACCTCTCTTGCGCCAGATAATTTCACCGTTCTCCACATACTCAAGAACTATGTATACTTTCTGGCGATTAGGGTCGTCGATCACTTCCAGCAGACTGACAACATTTGGATGTCGAGCTTTCTTCAGAATGGCAACTTCTTTCTTGACCTTATCCTCCGGATTGCCCAGCTTTCCTAAGCGACGACGCTTAGAGTATCGCTGGACGATCTTAATGGCGACTTTTTGTCGAGTCGTGACATGGCGACCTAGTTTGACCTTTCCATGTTCTCCACGTCCGAGCTCCTCGAGGATTTCGTATTGATTAATCAGCTTGTTACCGGTGATCAAATCGCGGTCTACCTCCGCTGTATGGGTCCTGTCCGGCTGGTCAATTGCGAGCTCTTCACCAAGACAAGAAAATGCCCCAGAGAATGACGACTTGGATGGAATGAGGGCCAGGACTTACTCTTTGGGTGGTTGGAGATGGGTCGGATGAAGATATGGGCTACTTATCCGACCCTCGTCATCCGAGGCGATCGGAGGAGTTGAGCGAGGGCTGCGCACCGAAAAAAGACCGGGGCTAGAGATGGGTGTATTGCCCGCCGTGCGCGCCGCACGTGCAGGAGGGAATCGAGAAGCCGCCTCGATCCGAGATGGATAAGAGCTGCGGGTGCGTAGAAAGGGAGGTTGGTACGTGGGATGAACCTGGGATTGTAGCACGGCGTATGACTGGTCAGGATAGACAGGATAATCGCCGGGTGGCATATCCGACTGACTCAGGTGCACCATTTTTCGGGCGATGGGAGTTCGCCCGATGCCGCCGTGATCCGACCGAGCATCGACCACTACATCCTCATTGAGTGCCTGTAACGAGCTGGAAGACGTCCGCGTGGACGGGGATCTCGAGGTACTGGAGGAGTGATAGAGGTGAGGGAATGGGTGCCGCAGCGAGGGTTGTCCTTCTGGGATGTCACCAGACAAGGGAAGTTTGGCACTCGGAGGCCTAGTGATGGCGTGTCGAACGTCAACCTCCGTTGATGTTGGCGAGGAGCTCAAAGCCTCATTCGATTTGTCGGAGACTCGTCGAAGGGTGCTGTCTGATGCCTGACCATTTCGAGCGACCAGATTCACCAGTTCCTCCGACCCTGCGATTGAAGGGGGCCGGTCCATTTTCATGTTTCAATTGTAGTAGTCCTTGTCAGAGTTCAGTTGGGCATTCTTTTTTGCTTTGCGTTGGCAGTGCAATCAAATCTCCTTCCCTCCGTGAACGAGGGAGCGGTTTTCTGCCCTGG